TTTTTTTTGAATAAGCTCAATTAATTTTTTTTATATTTTTTTCTTCTGTCAGTGTGCCCCAGGGTATCTGTGGCTACATTGTAGCTTACCCTCATTAGTGCGTGAATGGGTGAATGATTGAAATGTATAGTCCTTTGGAGTTCATAGGACTTGACAAAGCACTATAAATTTAAGCCATTTGCTGTTTATCACATTAGACTACTGGTAACTTAATAATTACCACTAAGTAAATGAATTGAGATGCAGCCATAATCTCTTTGGGTTCTTTCTGTCCCAAGGTTTCCTTCCAGTGGGACATTCTCRGAAAACTTCCAGAGTGAAGCACTCATGAGGCATTCTAATCTGAGTACTAAATCACCTCAGATGAATCCTTTTTCAGTGCAGAGAAGCACCTCTAAGGTGTCCATGGCTGAAAGGTTTCCTCACTTTATCTCTAATACAGAGACTGAATGCCCAGTAATGGAAGCTCTTTTCAGCTTCCTTTATACAGGTTCATGTTCTTTCTAGTTGTGAACCATATCCCAGGACRACAAATAATGTTTGATAAGTAAACGACCCAATACAACCAAGAGCTTTGCCTATCWGSCGAGCTGTTTCTTCRCCACARCAGACATCCTCATTACTGTATCAGTGGTGCTCAAGCCTGGTCGTTGAGGGCYACTATCCTGCAAAAAGTCTTCAAGTTCTGGTGAAACCTGTTAATCTCTCGTTCAAAAAAAGAGAAACGCCTAAAATATACAGAAAAGTGTTCTTCGAGGACTAGGATGGAGCACCACTGCTACAGATGAAGCCCTAATCTGTTGATTTATCTCCCACTCCTTCCTGCCACTGCTTTTGAACAAGACAAACTGATATTTGAGCTCTTCCACTCGAGGCAGTGACTCACCCCTGACTCAGAGGGAACATTTTGCCAGAAAAGGTAAAATGTTAACTCGTTTTTCTAACAGCATGAATTCATTCTATTATAAATCTTGGTTGCACTTTAAAAGGATACCATTATTTTATTGTGAACAACAATTTCTTCACCACTTCYAAGTAGGCTGTAGATTTTTATGGATGTCAAGAGGAACATCAGAGCTTAAAAAAATATTGCCGGGTGTGTTTTTAAAAGTCAGTTTGAAGCAGCAGGAACCCTATATGTTTTGCTCATTTTCCTCTCATAAAAACAAATAAAAAAATAAATTGTATTGGACTGTTTCTGGTTTGAAGTGTCCAAACATCACCACAACAAACGTATTCTCAAACAATGACGTTTGTGACAAATTATATATTTTTAGAGCCATATGAKTTTAATCCTTCACTTAGCCAATCACAGTTACCYWGGTTTTAAAAACAAAAGAATTGGAACTTTATTTCCTTTTCTGTGTACCTGAAGCAACAGGTATGTTTCTGTGTTGGTGAATATATAAAAAAGAGGGGAAGAGAAAAAATAGATTTCTTTGTCAGATGGGATTAAGTAGCAGCAGACCCTCCAATTAGCCATATTTCACACGTCGGCTCACATCGGCGAGGCTGTGGCTGAGGGTGATAACACTATTTGAGGAAAACAAAGACTGAAGTGGGAGCAAGAAAATGAAGGGCAGGACAGGAAAGATAGGGAGACAAGCGTGACCTGAAAAAGAAGATAAATGTCAAGAGTGAAAATGGCTTCAAGACAGATAACAACATTAAAAATGTGGGAAAGAAGAAGGTCACGGGTGAAATTGATAAGAGGAGGTATAAATGAAGAAGTGATTGATTCCCAGTGTTTGTCAGGCGGCGCCATATTTGTCAATGACAGCTTCAGATTCACAGTAAAATGTCAGCAACTGCGCTTCAGTTTAATGAGATGAAATTACGATAATGAGGTTTTTAACCTTCAATCTGGACACAGATACATCGACAGGTTGTTTTTAACTGTAAACTAATAGAATAATTTGGATTCTATCATCTTATAAATTGAAAAATTGAGGATTATGATGGTTTTGTTTAAACTTCATTTTAACTTAAAATAATGGACTCATAACATTATTTTATTGGTGAGTGATTAAAAGGGTCTCCAGTTACTTTCACGTTGGGATTAATATGTTATTTCTCTGTTCTACTAAAAGTTGTTGTTCGTGACACAAAACATCTTACTCTAAAAGATTGTGTGTTTATTACATTTTTCACTTAAGAACATTACAATTTTGTTACTGACACAAAGCACTTTGGGGAGGATGATGGTGATGACGATTATGGGTTACAGTTGAGACTAAAACATGAAGAGTCAAGGATAAAAAGCTACAATGTGTGACAATAAAGTTATATTTTGTATTAATTTCTATGTTCTGCACAATATATGGGTTGAAATGATTAAATGTGATGTTTAGTAAATGAGCTCTGGAGCTATCGCCATATATTTATGTAATGCTAATCTGGCTAACATGAAAGCTAAAAGGTAAGCACTATCATTTACCCAATATGCTTTGCGGTGTAATAACATGGCGACGTCCGCGTGACATTGTATTTTTTTAAAAGCTTAACAGCCTATAGTATTTTTACCAGACTTGTTTTTATAGTTCGAGTAATTAAAAGAAAAAAGTCTAATGTAACAACTAGTTGGAGAAAAATACATGCCTCTCAGTATTGTAGTCACATTTTCAAATATTAATTTTTTCCCATTTTTAAACACAAAGTAGGGTTTTATTAGTCAGAAACATGCAGTGTCCTTGTAAAACTGTTCAGTGAGCAGCAAAGGCTCAGTATACGTCGTACACAGACACAAAGCTTGTGGTCATCACTTTTAAGGAGTTGTGGAATATAAAACACCCGGGCTGACAGGCTGCAGATTAACTATGGAACCATTTGATACGAATAAGAAATTAGCTGACAAGACAGCCAAGGAAGTGCAGCACTTTGAACAGGTGTGCGTGGGCCTGAGCGGTGTCCAAAACACGAAGGCCGCAGAAGCAGAACTGATGCAGCCAACTTTTTTTAGGCTGATTTGAAATAGTRAGTTTGGACCAGACCATTATTTGTGAGTATTTACATGTTTTAATTCCACCTTAAAAAGATGAGGAGTTTTGTGTAGCAGGAAATGCATAAAATTTCCCACGAGCAAACGTAATGAATCAGTTTTTAAATGTGAAATGTTAACTGTGACCTCTGCAGGTTCTCACTGTTTCATGGGTTTTAGTAGGCTTTTTAGCCGGATTAAAAACCTGATGCCCCACTGTTAAAGCCGGCAGTCATTTACAAGAAYCGAATTTATGAGACTGACCATAAAAACCAAGAGACTTCAAAGGAAATATAGTGTGATGACTCTAAACCAACATTAGCTTGTTTTCTGACCAGCCAAGGATGAGTAATGTTTGTTTTATTTAAAACTCGAGGGCTTCAGTCTTAGATAGGTGCAGTTGTAGCCTTGTGTTCTTCAGCTTTAACTGAGCAATGTGGATGAAAAAAAAAGTTCAGTCAAAATGGACATCTGCAATGGGACATGCCAGATTTAGTGCACGGCACTCAGAGGAAATATGGGGAAACGGTCGCTCTCTCCCTGAACCCAAGYGCTGCTCATATCTTTCATAACACCCTGCTCTCCCGTGGTCAGACTGGTGAAATTGATTGCCCTGCTTGCACTATATGAGCAACAGTCACTTYGGGATTTACTCTGCTGTAAGGAACATCAACCCACTCCACCCTCGATTCCAAATTGATTATAAAACTGCTTTCTGCTGACACTGACACATCKGTGTGTTTGAATGTGTGTGTGCACGGTGTGTGTTTGAACTATGGAGGGTGCAAGGCAGATTAGAAAGCTCTGCAGGATGATGAGTGTTTGAAAATCCCAGCAACATTAAAGCAGCCTAAAATATTCAATCTTGTTGTTTTTGGATGTGAATAGTTTCAGGCTGACAAACGGCAGCTGTTGTTATCACATGACCACTTGCAGGTTTCAGCCCTGGTTGATTGTCTCTTAGCAACAGTAAATGTAGCAGYTACTTTGCTGCAGCTGAAAATTTGTGGTCCCCGTGTGCTACCAAAACATCAACTTTTATTAAAAGGAAGTTTTATTTTTATTCATTTTTTTAACCAATATTGTTTAGTGTTTTGATGTTTTTCTACTATTTTTTTTCCRTACTTGATGCAAACCTAGTTTTTTCTTCACAGAGCTCGTGGAGGAGGCTGGCATGGAGAGGAAGGTAAAGAATCCGAGGAAGGCGTGGAGCAGATGGCGAGYAGATGAACTGGAGGGAGAGTGGCAGGTGCTTAAATACAAGAGCCTCATCTTCAGACAAGATCAGCTACAGGTGGGTAGAGTGGCTCTATGCCACTCAGGAAGCTGCAGAAAGGAGGTCAGCAGCTAAAACAAACATTATCTACAAAACAGAATGTAAAAATATCTATTCAGCACCGGGAGAGACTAAATTCAAATCTACTGCAGTCATATACTCCACGTACACAACAAAATACATTTAACTCTCCTTTCAAGCATTTTATGTATTTCAACCGGCTGTATTTTCTTCAGTTTGTGAATGCATGAATTGCTTCACTGCGCTGTAAATACACAGAGCATCTTGTAGAAACAGGTATGAAAATGTTGCAGACAAAGACAGAGTATRGTGGCAGATAGAGAGGAGCTATAAAAGATGCTTCCTTGCATTTGAACCCTGCTCTGCTCTGAATACGCTCAACAATTTAATTTATTCATTGGCCATCAATTCATGCTGCAGTAGCAGCACAAAGACAAAGAAAAGTTGCTTTTCATTTCTGTTTTGGTGACGCTGTTTAGTAGCTTTAAAACTATTTATAAAAGAGACCCATTTTCTGTTTTTATGTGTACTAAAYGTATACTAAATTTACTAAATGTAAATTGTCATCAGCGGTTTCATTACAAGTTGCAAAGATGACAAAGCAAGAGCAGAAACAGTGAGTCAGATATTTGATCAGTGTTGCTTTTCTAACACGTTTCACTGATTTGACAGAACACCACATATCACATCAACTGTGAAAACACATTTGTCYAGGCAGCCACTCTCCAAATCTCTGTTTTCATACCGACTTGCAGATGGRTGCACGTGCACAAACAGAAGTACACCCTCACACAATTCTTCATTTTTAATGTTTCTAGATGTAATTTAAAAAATAAACAACCTATCAGGAAAATATATTATCACATAAAAATCAAATGCCAAATCAAAATGCAAAAAAAGAAGCATAATCAAATCTTTATAAGCCACAGATAGAATAGAATAGAATAGAATAGAATAGAATAGAATAGAATAGAATAGAATAGAATAGAACTTTAATGTTCACTGTGGTGGAAATGTTTCTCTGGTTCACCAGACATGTACAGTAATATACTAAACTAAACAGAACAACACACAGTATCAAACACAAAACTAAAAAAAACCCATAAAATTTCATAAAGCAAAATTTCATCAAACAAGTTCATAAAAAACATTATTCAAAATACCTCTACCCCCAGCAGCTCAGTCAGACATGCATAGTTTATATAGTTTGGAGCAACTTACATTTATAACTTATACAGGGCAATGTTGTGTGTATAAAAATGACTGCATGTCCATTTATACACGGTCCATATAACTATCAGAAGCTAAAGTAATGAGGTGGAACTCAACAAAATGYTCACTTGACTGACTTTTAARTTTCGAGTTGTTTAAATCGGAGGTCTTCAATCCTGTTCCTTGTGACCCGCTGTCCTGCATATTTTAGCTGGTTCTGTTCTCTTGAACACCTGATTCAAACAATTAAATTGCCTGCCAGGAATGTCATCAAGTTTAGCAGAAGTCTTTAAATCACCCTTTTATTTCAGTCAGGTGTTAAAGCAGGGGGACATCGAATACATGCAGGACAGTGGGTCACAAGGAACAAGGCTAAAGACTTCTGGTTTCAATCAAAGCAGTGGTTTGTAACCTGTTTTCCTCAAAGCCCCCCTTAGTTCTAAGCCAATCTGAACTCCAAAATAGTGCTGCACGATATTGTTTGAGCATCATCATTGCAATGTACATGTGCACAATAGTCAAAATAAACTATTGTGTTGTCTAGTGACTAAACCACTAAAGCACAAGTCATCACATGACGGCTCAGTCAGCAAGAAGGTCCTGGGTTCGACCCCCATTTCGGACCTGGGGTCTTTCTGTGCAGAGTTTGCATGTTCTTCTCGTGCTTGCGTGGGTTTTCTCTGGGTGCTCCGGTTTACCCCATCCCCCAAAAACATGTACAATAGGTTGCCTTCAGGCTTCCCTTGAAAAAGAGATCTGAGATCTCAACGGGACTTACCTGGTTAAATAATGGTAAATAAATAATTGCACTAAGCAATCGCGTGCTACATGCTTTTATTTTGACGGGTTGTTTCCCCTGGCGAAAGTGGGTAGCTTTGTGTCAAAAAAGCTAAAACTTT